TAACCCAGTATTATGAATTGGAGATCTTGACTCTATTAGTATGTTTGGACAAAGTTTTCAGCAATTTACTAAATATAGTGAAAGAAGACAGACAGAGTATTTTTAGGGCATGTTTAATTTGAATTGTTTTGAGAATACAGTTATTTTTTTTTTTAAAAAAAATAGTGCATCCATCAAATGTAGAAAATAAAACAGCACAAAGAACACCAAAGCAATATATCAACCAAATAGAAAAGCTACCTAAGAATAAGAAAGAAAAGGAATGAATTTTGAAATATATATACCGTAATTTTTGCACTATAAGATGCACTTCCCCCCCCCCCCAAAAAAAAGTGGGTGAAAATGTCTGGGTGTCTTATGGAGCGAATATTGCCCATCACTGCCACTGCCTGTTGCTGCCACCGCCTATCAGCGGTTGGATCAGACTCCCGGAATACCGCCGATCAGCTGTTCCAGGTGGTGGGGATCACTGCCACCTGGAACAGCTGATCGGCAGTATTCTGGGAGTCTGGTCCAACTGCCAATAGGCAGCGGCAGTGAGTGGCGGTGATAGGCAGGAGTGGCGAGTGGTGGCGATAGCCAGGGAATGCTGGTAAAGGCTCTAGAGGAGGCAGCAGACACAGAAGAGGCAACAATAGTGCCGTTTCTGGTCGGCCAGCCCACTGATTGGTGGGGCTACAGGAGGCTGTGATTCAGCTGTCACTCAGAAGACAGGTGGTGGGCACAATGGAGAGGAGCCCCAACAAGCCACGTGCTGGGACTGGGAGGCAGAGGCAGATTTTTTGTTTTCGTGTTTTTCTCCCCAAAAGCTAGGTGCAGTTTATGGTCCGGAGCGTCTTATAGTGCAAAATGTATGGTACATACGTGTAATCTTAAGGAAACTAAGGAGATATGCAATATTTAAACATCCATATTCAATATTTCTTTCCAGAAATATTTCTATAAACATAATTTACTGCAAATTCCTTTGTTAATGTCATTTTACGTACTATACTTATCTAAAGGGAGATTTTCAGTATTTTCCAGTGATTAACTTCACAGTTTATTTTATTGATGAGACAGATTGGTGAACTCTCTTGATAGAGATATAAATATGAATGTTTTGTTAGGGGAGCTAAAAATAATAATTTGCCTAGAAAGTTGAATGTTGTATATATCAGAATTTTTGGAAATTATAGATATTGAAATTATTTGTTTTTTGAAGAAGTAAAAACTCAACCAAACAGGTTTGTGGTCTTTTAGGTATAACACAGTCTCAGTACTATAGTTGGAATGAGCTTTGCTAACTATTTATTTTAAGGAATGATTAAATTGTACTAAAGAATAATATTTGTTTTTCTCAACATTTTGGTTTTGGTGAGGTAGATAGGAATGTGAATTAATTTGAAATATAATTAAGTGTATTTTAATTAACAGTGCTCATAGTGGTGTACAATGTTGGTGACAATGATTATGTATAGTAATTTTCTCAAATGAAGCTATTTTTAATAAAACTACAATTATCTAACATGGCAAATGAAGTATACATTTGAAATCGATCTTTTTTATGATCTGCCTTCAAGGAAAGATAATACATTAGATATAATAAGCAACATTTAATATTTATTATGTGTTAGAAAACATTTTATCTTATGTCTACATCTTGTTGTAGTTTTGAAATGTTGCTTATGTAGTGGATTAGATTTAAAATTGTGGGATTTCAAAACCTTGCTCAGCTGTGAACTTGACTTGAGATCATTGTAATCAAAATAGAATAATTTACATGGACTGTATCAAGCTTTTGAGAAATAAATTTGGAAATAAATGTAAATTTTTGGATAATAGTAAAATCATCCTTTACATGACTATTTTTGAATCTTTTTCTGCACTGTATTTTGAGAGATTTTAATAGTGAAGGAAAAGAAAACTTATTTTCTGTAAATACAGAATTGGTAATAGTTAAATATAGTATATTGTTTATTCACCCTAATACTGTAGATTTGCATTGGTAACCACAATTTTATTACTTTTGTAGGGCTGTTGATGGAGTTGATGAAGATCCTGATTTGTTTCATATGGAAGTCCAAGATCCAAATGGAGGTACTCATTAGGATATTGTAATTGTTTTTTGTTTTACACATTTCTGGTTAAATTCATAAAAAAATTAACCCAAAATTTCTGGTTAAGTTCACAAAAAATGGGAATTGCTTTCTAAGTGCCATAATCTTTCTCATACTTATGTATTCAGCAACTCTACCTCATATATTTTTTTTCCTCATTTTATATGTGCTATAGTCAATGTAAAAAAAAATCTATAAAATCTTTCAAAATGAATATCATAAAGTTCGATTATGTTTAAATAATAATGTATTGTTTAATCAATTTATGATATTGATCAAGTAGATATGTTAATATTACTAGAAAATCAGCCCAACTTCATTATACTTAAATGAGCTAATAATGTACACAAAGGGCAAACAAAAGTTTTTGTATAAAACAAGAGGATATAAACTAAATCAATGCACATATAACTTTTTATTTGTAGTCTGTTATATTTCTGCTTTCCATGTAAAGTAACTTAGCGAACCAGTGTATACCATAAGTGTCCTCATATAGTGCCTATGTAAAAATTCATAAAAGACTGTTCACTGAATCATTGGCATCTATTCCTGTGGGACAGATCCAATGATCAGTACTAAAAAAAACTAATAAAGAAAATGTTGGGTTTTACCTTCAATTGATAAAAGGAAAAATATAAGGGATTTTGTGAATCAAAACATAAATGTCTTAAGAGTATCTAAGACAAATTGAAGATTTAAAGAGCTCAAATAAGTACATACCTAAAGTTTATTTTGATTAGTATAATGAACCTTTCAAGCAACATTCTCTCAAATGTGGAAGCTTGAGATTTTCAAGAGGAAATCTTTTTTATTGTTATGCAAAAATAATGGAATAGAAATCAAATTTCTAGCCAGTCTGAAGTAGATAGTTTTTGATTTATGCATGAATGAAAAAATTCTGGTTTTACTGGTAAGTCAAAGTGTTTCTGTATCAAACCCAAAACCAGAGGAAGAGCCTGTGTGAGAGTGTTTTAGAGTCCTGCTTCCTATACCACCCAAATGCTATTAGTAATATTCAATATCAAAATAATCAACGTTTTTAATGCTACAGTTACAAAGTTCAGTAATTACCATGAATGTCAGTTCACTAAATTGGCCACTCTAACAAAATAATTTACAAAACTCAGACAATTACAAATAATTTTAGTGTCTATAAATACTGTTCAAAATCAAAACCAGAAACTATCAAATAATTTACAAAATGCTCTATTAAAATGAATGATTAACATTTATTCAAAGACGTACTCAACAGCCTTTAATAACTTGATTGTAGCTCTTCAAGAAGTAGTAATCACAGAAATACAGTTTATTGTATTATTTTGTAAAGTCATTGGATAACTTCTGTGTCATTTATCAATAACAGTGTTATATATAATATTTTATTTAAATCAGATTTAAATCTGATTTATGCATTATTAAATATTTTTGTTTTATAAGAAAGATATTCCTTTCTTTTGTTGATATAATGGAAACATTGTGAATATGGCAGGTATATTGTTTATGTTGTATTACCGATACTAAGTTGGTGCACTAAAAAGGGAACAATTAAATTAAATTAGCATAATATAAATCCAACTATACACATTTTAGTTATGTCAATTTCAGTAGTATCTTAAGAAACTGATCCATAACTCTGGCAAAAAAGACAATTTAAGGAAAATAATACTCTTTTATTATTGCATATAATGCATATTGTTGCATGTATTAATCTTATCATATACAGAAATGCTTCCATCATCAACTTCCAAGCAACAATAATTATATATTGTTTCCTGTTTATATTCAGATGCTTCCTTCAGGTACTTAAGCCTTGAATGTTTTTGCCACATTGTTTATATTTTGTCACTGAGTTATTCTAACTGCAAGTATCTTAGGTTCATTAATAAGTTTAAAATGTCTCTTTTGAGACCCAATGCCATTATCAGCTAATAGGAGATATGCTTTGAGGACTAGCTTATTTTTTAAATTCTCAAGATTTGTAGGACTGCCTCTTACTCACTTTTTGTTTCATTTTTTATTCATTCCTTTATCCCAGTGTTTCTCAACCTTGGCAACTTGAAGATGTCCGGACTTCAACTCCCAGAATTCCCCAGCCAGCATTCGCTGGCTGGGGAATTCTGAGAGTTGAAGTCCGGACATCTTCAAGTTGCTAAGGTTGAGAAACACTGCTTTATCCATTACATTTATATCCAAACTCACCTTTAGTGCCCATTTTTGTTTTCCCTTTTATTCAATATTCATTCTTTGAC